GCGGGTCTTCAGTGTACGGATCCCCCATGATAAACGAGGGACTACTGTATGAGGCTGGTGTAATACAACAGCTTAATTGAAGGCCTTGCTCTAAATGTTTATATTTGCAACACTTTTGAAAAATGTGGAATTTTATTCATTTTATTGCTCCAAGAATTTATCAGTTTTAAAAAGGTGAACCATACGTTTTGTGTTTATAGACAATTTTAAGATTTTAGGTTTAAAATGTGAGTTGGATGTCTAACAGCAACAGAGACTATGTGGTGGTTTGCATCATCTAATGTTGGAGGGAAAAATATAAAGCTGTTTTTGTTGCTTTTCACTGATTTACCTAATGACGTAAATCATGTCCAGCTTCTGAAAAAAAAAAAATTTGACGAGATGACAAAAACCACAAAACATTCTTAATTACTCTAATCTATCCCGAGTTTGATTTATATCTTTCCACAAAAATCATGTTTTCACTCATTTCACAGCAATCAAAAGCTTCCTTTAATTGTTAATCAAAACAACTATTAATTGCTCATTTCTGTGAAGCATGAATAGGCTTCCTTGCTGTCATTTTCAGTTCAATCCACAGATTTTTGGACGAGATTCAGGTGTAAACTCCCATGACTTGCATTTTCAAAATGTTGATATCACTCTCAATTAATCATTTGACTTCTTTGGTTGTATGTTTTAGATATTATCTTGTTTAAAGGGCCACTAAAGCTTAAGTGCCAAGATTTTCTGCAAAATGTTGGATGTGATTCTGCAGAATCTTGGGCCTAAGTCCAGTTGTTCTCATTGACTTCATGATTTTAAGGTATGAAAACTACCTGTAGTTGTAATTTATCTTTATAACTGGGACAAAGAAGAGCATTTTGATGATTGGATGACCATAAATCTGGGAATCCCTTTTCTACTTGGCAGACCGTAAATAGGTTTAAGAGTAGAACTGGAATTGATCCCTGTTGTTGTCTTTCCTCAAAATGCCAAATTGGCCTGGCCCATTGGTGGAAGTAAAAAATCTGCTAAACTGAGTGCAAACTTCTAGAGGTCTGCAGACAAAATTGGCAATGAGCAGGACGGAAGTTTCCAAAAGCAGAAAAATTAAGTTGCAGCCAAATGTACAACCGATAGTCAAGAATTGATTAACACAGAGCATTTACAACATTTTAGGTTTGTGCTGCCAGTTCAGACATGACCCCATCAAACATCTGCAGAGAAACAATCCAAACGCAAAGAACTGGAGATCATCTCGGGATAAATGTTCCAAAATCCCAGCAGAGTCCACTGCTGTCGCAGAAAATAAAATTTGACGAAAGGGTGCAAAAATATGAATGAATGTGAATATTACCAGAGTTTAAGAAGTTGATTATTTTTATAGTAGAAATATAAATCTGAAGTTTCAGTGAAAAGATTATGAACATTTAATATCTTACTTTTAGATTTGTTTTTAATGATTCAATTTGAATAAACTGTTTAATTCTGACCTGACTGATGAGCTAATGGCTAATTCTAATGGTTCAGAGTCATTTGTTCCCATTTTAAAACGGTACCAATGTCCCAAATGTTTTAATGGTTCATGCACCTGTTTTAATGGTTCATGCACCTTTACTGTCAGTTTTCCATTGGCTGTAAGTGTTACAGCTAGCTGCTACTGCGACCGTGTGTCATTGCTAATTCTCATTGAATTTTGTGGGAAATAATTGTAACGTTCAAGTGACAGTGGTGTAAAAGTTGATGGTACACGCACATGAATGGTTAGGAAATTAGACGGACGAGGATTTTTTTTTAAGGTGACAGCAATCCACTTCATCCTTGGCTGCATTCAGACTAGTCGTTAGCTCCTGTCAGTCTTAAACTCCATCCATCCATTATTTTTTACCCAGGTTGGGAGAGTTACTGGTGCCCAGATCCAGCTGTCACTGTGCGTGAGAGGCGAGGTCCACTCTGGACAAGTCTCCATCACAGGATAGAGCAATGGTTCCCAACCCTGGTCCTTGAGGAACACCATCCTGCATATTTTAGCCGTTTCCCTGCTTTGACACACCAGATTTGAATGATTTGGTGATTTAACAGGCTTCGGCAGAACATGAGGACGTCATTAAATCACTGAATCAGGTGTGTTGGAGCAGGGAAACGGCTAAAACATGCAGGGCGGCGTTCCTCAGGGACCAGGGTTGGGAACCTCTGACTGAGACAACTAACCATTCACTCTCACCAATCAGACTAACATGCATGTTTTTGGTCTGTGGGGGGAAACTGGAGTCCATGGAGAAAACCCACACATGCACAGAGAACATGCAAACTCCACCCAGAAAGTTACCCAGCTGGGATTTGATCCGGCGACCTTCTTGCTGAGAGGCGGCAACTCAACAAACTGTGCCACCGTGCCACTCCAGTCTTAAACTCAACTTCCCCAACTGTGGTTGATCAGTTTTTTTTTTACAAGTAAATTATTAGTAGTTCAGAACTTTGACTCAATGCAGTCTGCTGGCTTCCTTCCTTAAATAAAGTTACTAATTGAATGTTTCATGCATGTGAATGTTTCTGTTCAGTGACCTGAGATGACTTCTGTTGTGACTTGGTGCTAGAGAAATAAACGGAACTTTTCCACAGAACCCCAATTCTAAATTCTGAACTATTCCTTTAATTTCACTGACACAGTATTTCATTTTTGGCTATATTTGAGCCATTTCCAGCCAAAGAAACCCAAATGACTAGTTGCCGAATCCTTGATAAATATGATCATACTACTTTCACACTAATGACAAATTTACAAATAACTGCCGAACTTCCACAGTGACACATGTAGTTTTGTGTGAGCATTTCCACCTCTCTTTTTATGAGGGTTTAAAAAAAGCTGTTGAGTCGAGGAGGCATTTCATACTTTTCGAACACACGTGCTTCGAGGCCGAGCATTATGTTGACGAGGCTGAGCGACGCTAACTCCACTCAGGCTGTTGAGCTAGGTGACTGTTTATTTGGACTTGCAGGGCATGTGTCTCTCCAGAGCCGATCGCTGAATGCGCTACACGAGCAGACCTCCATGATGGATTTCAAAGCCAAAATAAGCAACAATAATTGCAAAATGGCTGAATGTTGGAAGGAAAAGCACGAGCATTTAGTTCTCCATTAAACAAGCAGCACAGGGCACAGGTTAAGGATCATTTTATTACGTAGCAGTTTGTACAGTTTCTAGCATGGAAAAATAACATGTAACATAAGACTGTATTTACAATTCCATCTTTACAAAATGTCTTTACAAGATTGTTTTTTTTTTCTTCTTCCTTTTGTCTTTTTCTTGGATCAAAAAATTCGAGACAAACACAAAAAAACATACGCATTCACGCACATCAAAACCAAAACTTTGTAGTACACACATAAATAAATATAGACATTCACTGACTGTTCCAGGACAAATATTTCTACAGCCGAGAACATGTACAATTCATTTTCTCACGCGTTATAACTTTATTAATAAACAAGACATATTAAGTCCAATATAATCATTTGTTAATCTGTTAGGGAAATATTGCTAGGATATTGAAAAAAAGAGGTAACACAGACGTTATTTCATGCCAGCGGGATTCTAACGGTCGTCATGCAAAACCATTACGAGCTTTCAATTTGAAGCAAGTAATTCATTTACAGTTAAATGCAACTGTACTACATGCAACACACATGAGATACTCTGGGCTAGACAAAGACTTTAGTTACATCAGTTCAGACTGTAAGTCTAAGCTCTTCAACGGGTAACACAAAATAAATAGATGAGTTTTTCTTCACGGGTAAACAAAAGTTCTGGTTTTTCCTACCGGTCGACTCGGTCCCATCAAATTCACAACACATTTTGGAGTCCTTTAATCACTTCCTGTTTGAGTATGAAGTATAAATTTTACTGTACACACACAAATCCAACCGGTGAAAAGAGAGAGGGGCTACGAAGGAGCTGACGTGTTGTAGAGCCTTGGGAAGAGGGAAGGCGTACAGGGATGGGGGTGTCACTTCATGGTCTGGTGCGTGGTGGTTCTGTGTGGCTCCACTCAGTCCTTCTCTGGCAGAGATGAGCAGAGAGCTGCAGGTTCTTCTCCCCGTTGGGTTCGCTTGGACTCAGTGTCTCTCCACTGTTGGCTTATGGTGGTGAGAGTGGTGCTGCCGGAGTCTGGGTCCTGCAGAGAAATGATGTTCTCCTGTCAGAGATGCTTTTACTTTGTCAAACGCAGCAACAAATAAAGCAACAAATAATTATCGGTTTTGTGTTGGTGGTACATGTGTGCAATTTTGGCTAGATATCAAAATATGACAAAATCGGCTGAAAACTTTAATCTCTATTTATAATAATTTGTTAAAAACTAACATTCCTTGAAGAAATGCATACTTCCCAAAACCTGAAATGCCAAAGTTCACAAATATTTTTATTTTTACAAAAGATCATGCACAAGACAAAGATCTTGTGCAGTTTGTTAGCGCTTAAATTATGTGCCGGGGATGACTTTCAGCTACTATGATGATAAATCTTAGCTGCACATCTGCAACACGGACAGAGATACAGCAGTCAGATTTTATCAGGTTGACTCTAAAAGTTAGTCAGGTATAGATATACCTCTTATGATTATATAAATTATGCATCCACACTAGTTATTTAAATATTTTGCCAACAGAACAGATGCACAATCAGCTCCAGCCTTTTGTGATGGTGGGTGACAATAAATTGTTTAATTAATCTAAAACTTTTGCAAGTTCTTACAATTATTGTCCATAAAGATACACTTTATTATTAATCCTTGGTGATACTGATTGGTTGCATTCAAATATACTTTTTGTAAGTAAAATTATTATTTGCAAAATATTAAATGCAGCTGAACTGTTAGCTAAATTGTTCACACCCCTGTGTTTGGCGTATTCACTGTATAAAATATACTTTTGTTTTCTTTCTGAGTTATAAGAACGTAAAATATATATTTAAAAAAAAACATACAGTAGAGGTAAACCTATAAAACTACAACTATTAAATAGTTTAGCTCTACATTTTGCCCATTCTGTAAGCGACATATTTACGTTTATAATGGATCCAGACGTAACTTATTGTTGTTTAATTCAAATTGGATTGAAGCGCTTTAGCTTGACGAACAGTTCCTTTTTGTTGAAAACACACAGATGGTCCGCTCCTGTCACCAGTGGGAGTGTAAGTGTGTCTTTACAGCACAGTGTGTCCCAGACGGCATGTGCAGATAAGGAGGTAATGCCGCTCACAGCAGTTTGTAATGTAGTCATACAAAATACACAAACACTTCCCAGGATGCTGCAAACTCACAGACGCACCTGGAAATACTACGTGTTCATATTCATCCTGTACGTATACTAGAGTTGGAAACTCTCTAAAAATATATCATAATTACTGTGTTAAATTGTTATTTTTTATAATCACAGAGATGATTTTGAAGCTATTTTTTGTGCTTCAAATGTTCTGACAGTGCTTTAGGTTAAGCACACATTGCATTTGTATGGGGCTTTTATTGTGAAGGGTTTGAAGGAAGATGTGTGTTAGGGTTGTTCTATTTTATCATTTTTAAATAGCTTCTATCTCATATTAATATCTGTTTCTGCATGTACAGAACAAAAGGTTTATTTTGGCTCAGTTTATATCTTGCTGTGTGTAAGTTTCTGGGAAGTTCTGAATTACATCAAGTGGACGTTTTATCAAGAAACTACCTGTACAAGCTAAATCTTCTGAAATGTTCTGACCGTCATCCTGATAAAATGTTTGTACATGGAAACCTGACCTGTTTTCATGACCCATTTTGACATAATAAATACGGACTCACCCAGCAAACGGTAGAGTTCACTCTGACCTAGTCGGTGACTCTCACCTTTGATCAAAGAGGACTGAGCGCTAAAAAACCACCTCTGTGTTGTGTGAAGTTGATTATCTTTAAAGGTTAAACAGAAAATACCTATTAATGTGTGAAGTTCCTCTGCTGTCATTAACAACGATGAGTAAATAAAGTGCATATTGAATTATTTTAACTAAGGCCTTATGGCATTATTGCCCACTGCCATAAAATGTGTGTATCATGTGATTGTCTGTGTGAGGCCTGCCTGATGTTGGGGGGCAGGTTGTTCCACAGTTTGGGGCCCATGACTGAAAAAGCCCGATCTCCTCTGAGCTTCAGTCTTGTTTTTGGAACAGCCAAAAGCAGCTGATCGGATGATCTCAGGGCCCGAGAGGGAACGTATGGTTCCAGAAGCTCAGAGAGGTAAAGGGGTGCGAGGCCATTTAAGCATTTGAAGGTCAACAGAAGAATTTTAAAGACTATCCTCGTAGGAACAGGGAGCCAGTGAAGGGAGGACAGAACTGGTGTAATATGTTCAGACCTACGAGTACTGGTTAAAAGCAGAGCAGCAGCATTCTGGACGAGCTGAAGACGTGAGATGGAGGCCTGGCTGACCCCAGCATAGAGTGCATTGCAATAGTCCAATCGGGTCGTGACAAAGGTGTGGACTGGTTTCTCAAGGTCGGGTCTGGACAACACTGGCTTGAGCTTAGCTACCTGTCTGAGTTGGAAGAAGCTTTTCTGCAGAACAGAGTTGATTTGTTTGTCAAACTTGAAGTCAGAGTCTAAAACGGGTGCATTTAGCGTTTTTTGACATTTTCTTTCTCATTGAAAATGAACTGAGCTCATTTTATCTTCTTCAAATCTTTAGATGTGTTTACAACCTTTTACTGCTCCTTTCACATTTTGTTCTGCTTCTTTCATTTTGTGAAAATTTGAAATTTATTCAGCTACTTTCAGCTAATTTCAGCTGTTTTATGCTCCTTTAAGATTTTTTTCTCAATACAATATTTTTGTGCTTCTTCTAACTTCTTTCTGCTAATTTCAGCTTGTTATGCTTCTTTCAGCTTCTTTCTGCAAGTTTATGCTTTTTCCACAATTTCAGCTACTATGTAGATGTTTTTATGCTAATTTAAACTTTTTCAGCTAATTCAACATTTTTTTCACTCATTTAAACTTTTTTCAGCCAAATTCAGCAAAAAAAAAAGCTCTCTCTACTTCTGTCTTGTAATTTCAGCTTCTTTCTGCTTTTTTTTAGCTACTTTTCAACTGTTTTTGCCAATTTCAGCTTTTTTAATTTTTATTTTTTAGATAATTTCTACTTTTTGTTCTAATTTCTGCTTCTTTCAGCCTAACTGGGCAAATGTGTTCTTTCTGCTTTCTACTGCTGATTTAAGCTTCTCTCTTTTCAGCTACCTTTTTAGAATTTTTTAGCTAGTTTCAGCTGTTTTCAGATCAATTCAAGTTTTTTGTGGTAATTTTTGCGACTTTCAGCCTAATTAACTCCTTTCTGCTAATTTCAGCTTATTTTTCAGCTAGTTTCAGCTTTTTCTACAATTTCAGCTACTATTTAGCTGTTTTTATGCTAATTTGAGCTTTTTCAGCTAATTGCACTTTCTTTTTTTTAGCTCATTTCATCTCTTTCCACTTCCTCCTGGTAGGTTAAGCTTCTTTTTGCCTTTTTGGCTACTTATATGCTTTTTGCCAATTTTTTTTTTTTTAGCTGATTTCCTAATTTTTGTGCTAATTTCTGCTTATTTAAACCTCATTCAGCAAATATGTGTTCTTTCTGCTTTCTTCTACTAATTTAGGCTTGTTCATTCACTTCAGCTACATTTCAGCATGTTTTTTTAGCTAAATTCAGCAAGTTCTTCTGTGATACGCACTCACACTGTATTGTCACAGGAAATGCAGTTTCTCTAGTTGTAACTTACGATGCTGTATGACTGGTAATATGCTCGGGGTTTGGAAGGTCTTGACGGTGGCGGGACCCTCTCCTCCAGTTGTTATGACCTGCACCTCCAGTCTGTAGTAGGTGGACGGCCGCAGGTTGGACACCACAAGCAAGTTATGATCCTGAGAGGTGAAGGAAGGAGAGCAGCAGAAGACAGGTTATCAGCTGAGACGCACCAGCTCAAGCCTTTGAATCTGACAGTACTTTAATTTGAACAGGCTGTGAAACAGAGATTTATAACAGTCTTTGCTGAAGCCACAGACACAAACAAAGGCTTTTGTATTCATAAGGTTGCTGCCAGCTTGATAAAGTGTGCAGTGGGTGGTTTTATTTATAGACGAGCTCAGGAGGCTGCACGGTGCAGATAGGCACAACGTGCTGTTGATGAAGCAGATTATGTCAAGGAGCGCCTGTTTCAGAACTCTTGCAGAGGATAAAAGAGGAAGACGTGGAGGCAGATGAAGAGGTGGAAGAGGAAAACTTCCAGCGGGATGCAACACTTTTTCAGATCTATACATGTGCCTGTCTGTATGACACACCTGATTACAAGATTTGCACAGAGGCCACAGCAAGATTATCCTAAAATCAATGTCACCTCAGACAAAAGCTGCAAACTAAAATGAGGGACAAAACTTATTTTCTAAATGCAAATATACAAAACCTGAAAAGTTGCTCACATCAATGTGTTTAAAATATTCAACAGAAAAGCTGTGGTCTGACTTCAGTGTGGCGGAGCGTACCGGAGGCAGGATCTGGGACTGCGATATGATGCTGTTGGGCAGGCTGTTTTGCCGGCTCTCTGTGTTGATCTCGGCCCAGGTGACCTGGAAGCCTGTGATTCTCTGATGAGGAGCCACCTTGGACACACGCCACAGGAAACTGCCGGTTATGTTTCCCTCATTGATGGAGAAAGAGGCTGTCAGGTTTTCCGGTTTAGCCAAAACCTTTGGGAGCGTTGAAGCTGCAGAACACAAAGGTGGTGTTAATACTATCATGACTTGTTCAAAAATAGAAACGCAAAAACGGCATTTCTTCGATTGCCATTATAGATTTTCTGCGTCGTCATGACACTGGAACACACTAAGGAATCTAATTACTGTGTCCACACTGAAGTGGATCGATTTTAAAATGCCCTTCTCGTGTCAATGCTCACCCCCCTCCCCCGGGCAGGGGACGTGCTTGTGAGTCTTGCTCCGGATGGTGGCGCAGGACGGGGTGAAGAAGGTGGTGCTCTCGTCCTTGGAGCGTCTCTTGGACTTCAGCAAGTGGACGGTGACTTTGTACTTGCAGGAGAACAACAGGCCTGGGAGGTTGATGTAGTTCTCCTGAGCAGAGAAACAGATTTTTCAGCCCCAATGACTTTGACGTGTCAACCGGGTCAGGTCCCTCGGAGCTTTAGAGATAATTAAATACACAGCACTGGAGGTAGATCACGTTCCAAACTCAGGACTAAAACATGCCCCACATTACACCACTACCTTGAACACCCACATGGTAGGAGTTAGGTTGTTTTTTTATAAGTATACTAAGGAAGGCCTAGCACCTGCAGCCTTTCATGCCAGAGCTTTAGACTTAGATCTTATGATGAGAATTGAGTTATATCATTTAGGTCAAATATTGACACTGTTTTGCACAATTTCACAAAATATGATGAAATCTTGCGCAACCTGTTCAAAGTACGTGTTGGGAATTACTCCTAGCTTTGACCTATTTAATTGTAAAATTAACTGTTAGTCATATTTGTTTGCTAATAATGATAAGCGGTGACACTTATCGTGAGTTGGCTCGACTACAAAGGTTAATCAGTTGTACATTTGAAGATTACTTTCTGAGAGTTTCAATATAATCTATTCACTGGCTGATAATTTATTTTCCACAAACATACAGATGAAGCTGACTCCAACAATTAATGTCGAGGTTATAAATAGGCCTGTCGTAATAAACAATAAATCAATTAATCGCATGATAAATTAAACATATCGACCTCATTTTCATTTATCGGCTTTATCGTTTCTTCGTGTCTCTCTCTTTCTACTGAAGACACTCGATGACAAAAAGCTAAACTCCGGTGCTCTTCACTGACCCCTCCCTTTCTCTTTTCTCTTTAAAATCTGTTTAAACCGTCCAAAACCGTGTTTTTGGATCATTAAAAGCAGCTAAGCTGAAAAGCTAAGCTACGAGCTAAGCTAACAGACCACCCTTGGGGAAAAAATCCTCCGTCTCATCAAAGCTCTAAAATTCACAGTTGAAACCCGTGCCTTTGTGTAAAAAGATTTTTTTCTTTGCAAAAAGAAGCTGAGAACTTGTTTACCGTTTTTTATTATTAGTAAAAGCTTTGTGTGACAAATGCTATGCTAAAGAGCTCAAACCACACCGAGCTTCCGCCATTTTGAGAACTGAAAAACAAGAACGAGAGACAGCCCATGTCACGTCAAGAGGCCTCCCTCCCATGTTCTTAGAGAGACACGCTGCTTGCTCTCTCACTATCCATCCTTCAGTTCAAACAGTCTTATATTGCCAATCAGTGGTCAAAAAAGGTACTACACAAAAAAATTAACCAATATTTCTTCATAAATTTGACAATAATTACTAATTACTGTCGAATTTCAAACAATATTATCGTTTATCGCAATAATTTCTGAGACAATTAATCGACCAGCAAAAATTATTATTGTGACAGGCCTAGTTATAAACTATGTGTTGGGGATGACTCTCAGCTGCTACCACACCAAATTTAGCTCAACATTTGTAAAACTGAGTTCTAGCCATTTTTGTGATTGCAAAATGAAATTGACTAGGCGTCCATCTTGAATAAGCTTAATTCCAAAAGATGTTCACTTGTAGATGTGCACCATTTGATTACTTTATGAAAGTCTCAATAAAATCTGTCCAGCTTTTCATGAGATTTTTTTTTGACAACAGAACAAACACACAGGCAAAAACATTATTGCAGCTGGAAATAATAAGTAACAAGAAGCAGCAACAGTGGATTCATGCGCAAACTGAAATGAGAATATCCTGTAAATCCATGCTAATATATTCTCTGTCGTGGCTTTTTGCTGTGAACCGATTTCAAAATTTAATCATCTATTGATCTTAACACAAAACACTTTTCTCATTTCTCTGAGGAAACAAAAAAAAAAATGCAGCTGAATGGCGGATTCAGAGCTGGCAGTAATAAAGGCGGCCTACATTAATAAGGAATCCTCTCAGGAAAGGGTGTATATTCTCCCTGATATGAAACAGCTTTGATTAAAAGTGAATGAGGCACTGCGCTCACATAAAAGCACGAGTCAGGAATCCTCCTCAGTGATCTATGGAAAATGTACATTTCCTAGCAACCAGAGTGCTACTTCCCAAAGAATGTGTTAATTGCCTGACTCTGCCACCCCATATCAGTTTAAGCCCCCCATCTTTCGAAGTCCTAAACTCTACACAGACAGGACTGCGCCCTAAAACAAAGCCTCATGTATGGCTGAGGCTAGTGGAGGTGAACGAACTCTCGTTCCAGGAAACTTTCTCGAAGTTAATGCATTTTATTGGACAAAACACGCATGCCTGAATATAATTACTGACTCACAGCATTCAAAATAGCGAATGCAAATCCAATGCAACAGGGCTTTGGGCTCACTGAGTGGAGCTGTGTTTTTTTATTTTTTATTTTTATAAGCAGGGTTGCCCTTTTTAAGCATCAAACAAAAGGTTAGGCACATGCTTTGCATGGGCTTCGGCTACTAATCAAATCACAGCTCCGTGCACTCGCTGCCCTTTGTGACTGGACTTTTTAGTGAGTCTGCAGGGGACGAACCTGCGTGACGGATTTCTCTGGTCCTCGGGTCTCATTGTGGCTGCAGTACTCAGGCATCCATTGGACGTGATAGCGGCTCACAGTCGGGTCTGGAAAAAGAGAAGCATACGAATGAAATGGTAAACAGGTTTTAAAAATAAATAAAAAAAACTACTCGGTATGCAGAGCCTTTTATTTAAAACCTAATCAAATGAAAACATGCTCCATTCCACGGGCGAGTCCTTCATTCAAAATTGTATTTAGAGAACAAAGGTGTGCATATATTAAATATATTTAATAAACCAAGACCTCATTAGGTCAACAATAATTATTGGTGTCAAGATTTGGCTACTAAGTGATTAGTAAATAAATCTACTGTATTTAAGGATTTTCTCTTCATGCAGGAGTTTGTGTCTTTTGAGAATTCCTAATACGGAAGGGTCCTAAATAATTTAAGCACAAAATATAATGACAAATTTTAAAGAGACTAAAAAAATAGAAAAGCCATTGATTTTGTTGCTTTGCTTGGTCGCTGCCAAACATTTAAAGACCCATGTTAAACGACATATCTGCTGGTTGGAACATTTGCAGGAGAATATGTGCGTAAGCTACAAGCTCCATCATTTCAAAGCGACCACTGTAGGTATTGGGTCAGGTGTTGTCCTCTGTCCAAGCCGGGCTCTCTTGCATCAAGTTCTAGGAGTCAGTCTCCTCCTCTGGTGAGAACCAGGAGGCTGAACAGTACCAGGCTACATTATGCCTCGTCAGAAATTTGGTAGTGTAGATCTGCACATACAGGCTGGTCGGTGTTTCGTCTACGTCAGTTCTGGTAATTTGGACAACATACAGTATCAAAGACCCCACTGTCCCACTGGGTGTTATGGTACATTCATACCATGTTATGGCTTAACCACAGGCCTGATTGGTTGTCTTCCTGGCTATGTGCAGCAAGAACATGGGTTTCTGACTCTTTTTAAGTTTTATCATCTGAATGTGGCAACCAACTCCTTCTTTAGACAGAGGATGCTGAGTAGACCTTATCATTATTTCCCAACTATCTTGTTTCCCAACTCATTGACCAACTAAAATGATTTTTTCTTCAGACTAAACACGGCCCTACTTGGGTCAGCTTGGCAAGGTTTCAGAAGCTTTATAGGGTGATCCTACCTGCTTAATGCTCAGTTCCTAGGACCTACCCAAGGTGCACCAAACTGTGATTTCATGTCAACAAACTGCAGGTCATTGATCGGCAAGCGAGCCACAGCACTGGATGAATCATGGCAGGGACTGCTTTAACACCAACATGTTCTACAGCCACATCAACTTGCTTTTGTCACAACTTGTGTAACGCAAGCCTTCGCTGGTTCACTTTAATGTGTGCATGACTAAAGACAGACGGAGCACCAGGCACACCATGACCTCGATGTCCTCCATTGTTGGGTGTGGCCCAAAAAATGACATCCGAGGAGTGTCAAGTCTCGCTATGACAATTCCTCTCACATTGAGGTGGTACGTACTTAGTTATATGAAAAAAATTATTGAGATTGTGTAGAATCAAAATAAGGCGAGGAGAGTTGGGCTTCACTCATCTCATGGGGTGTCTTCAAGAAGCTCTTTGTACAAATGGATTATGTAACAGGAATAATCTCGAAACACTAGAAAATATGTGGTCATGATATAATCTTAACCCTCTGAGTGAAGAAGCCTCTTTGACTTCAAGATTTTTTCAATAAAACTATCAGTGCCTACACAGCAGCTTTAATGGAAAAACCAATAAGGTGGAACCAAGTAAGTACGTTTAAATAAATATGTAGGAATAAGCTCCTAAATCAGAAAAACAAGGTTACAATGTAACCATACACTCTGAAATACACATATAAAAGATCAGAAGTGCTTTAAATTTATCTGAATGTCTTTTTTTATGATTATAAATATTATTCATGACAATATGTAGGTTTTAGGCAGTATGTAAAGTGTGGAAATTTATAAAGAAACTGGCAATAATCAGTGATTAACTTTAATGGAACTGACACAAATTACATTTTCAATTTTTGATAAGAACAACATAAACCATCAGTTGCAGTCTCGTTTTTAACACTAAAAATAAAACGTACATTTTTGCTGTGGTCATAATAAGAGTTTACACAAACACAAAAAGCAGATTGAATCAAATATATATTTAATAAAATTTTAATTTCAACTTAAAAACCCACCAAACAAAGCTAAACATTAAACCAACTTTACTCTGATATTTATACTCGTAAAAATCAAAACACATGAAATGATCTCAAGTCCAAAACATGCATGTTAACGTGTTTAGCTGAGACGGATCAAATAGTTCCAACCTGTGTAATTTTGTTCATGTATATTACTGAATTTTGGGTTCATTTTTTGTGATTTTTTTTTTTTTTTTTTTTTTGATAGATGTAAAAAAAAAAACAGAGCAACAAATTTAATGAAAAGCAAGTGCTGACTATATTTTGGATGCAATCTCGCTGAAACCTCGGTAAATCCCGTCTATCTGAGTGTGCAGAACTCGGCACTTGACAAATCTAACAAACCTCCGATCCAAAGTCCGGCACAGAGCGGCTGGGCGAATGTGGTCTGGACTCTGTGGAGCAGGGTCATGCTTTCAGAGAGGCTGTAGAAACACAGAACACCTGCTCTGTGATCCAGATACACTCCTACTCTGGAGGACTGAGGACCCGAGATGCACGTTTTGATGTTATTGTGCCAAAACTTATAACCGTTTGGGGAACAGAATAACGTCCAAGATTTGTCGTTGCGTCCGAACACGCATTCGTTCCCTTTCCCTGCTCTGCTGATACTTTTATATGCCACCGCTACAGAAACTTCTCTCCCTCTACACTCGACCTCCCAGTAACAACGACTGGTCAGACGCTCCCTGCTCAGGACCTGACACCATCCTGTAAATCTGTCTGGGTGGTCAGAGTAAGACTGGTGCTTTTTCACTACATTTACCTTCCTGTTCCCCTCCGACAGCAACAGCTGTGGGTGTGCCGTGTTTGGATCCAGTGTGATTTTACAGAAATATTTTAGAAAGTCAGCTCTGCTTTTTGGGTCAGGCTGGGATGGTAAACCATCCAAATCAGTGGCTGCCGGTGAGATGATTGTCCAGTGGTCTGCCAGAATGTTCTGCAGTTTATTTCTGAGCTCCAGCACAGCTGCTGAGACGTCCTCGAAGTACCTGAGAGGACGAACTTTGATGTTTGATAGGTGTGGCGGTCCAGTGGAAGCTGACAGTGAAGGGTAGCTATGTAGAAGCTGGTTGTGGTCCTCGGTGTTTAAGAGCTGCTCCAGCTCGGCGTCTTTCCCTCTCAGCTCAGTGATCTCCTGCTCCAGCTTCTCCTGGAGCTCTTTGACTCGACTCACTTCGCTTTCCTGCTGGGAACAGATCTGCTGCTTCACATCAGAGCTTCTTTTCTGGACCAGATGGATCAACTCAGTGAAGATATTCTCACTTTCCTCCACAGCTTTTTCACCGGACCGATTGATGGCCTCCACCTGGCCTTGAAGCAGCTTTGCATCGTTTTCTCGTTCCTTGATCCTTTGCTGGATTTCTTCTCGTCTCACCGTGAGCTGCCTCTCAGTGATTTCTGCTGCAGCTGAGACGGCGTCATGGCCTGCATGTTCATCCACAAAGCAGAGATGATAGGTGCACTTCTGATTGTTACAGCACATCTTCATTGCTTCATCATGATGAGAGCAGATCTTCTTAAATGGCTCCACCAGCTTGTGTTTCTTAGACAAAGCTGAATCAAAATGAGACTGAAGGTGCTTCTTGCAGTAAGAAGTCAAACAAACTAAACAGGTCTTAATGGCTTTCAGTTTTCTTCCTGTGCAGACATCACAGGCCACATCTTCAGGTCCAGGATCAGCAGGAACAGCCTGGACATTGGTCTTTTTCAGATGCTCCACTAAAAAGGTCAACATGGTGTTTTTCGTCAAGACAGGCTTTTGTCTGAAGGTCTTCCTACACTGAGGGCAGCTGTGGATTCCCTTCTGAAACTCTTCATTCCAGTAAACTTTGATGCAGTTTTTGCAGTAGCTGTGTCCGCAGGGAATAGTCACCGGATCCTTCAGTAGATCCAGACAGATGGAGCAGCAGAAAGCTTCTCTGTCTAGCTGAACAGCTTTCTGTGCCATTTCACCTGTGTGTGCGCACAAGCCTCATTTACATTTGTCTTTAAAGCTTCAGACCTGAAGGGGAGGGAACAAAACATACAGTATGTGGAGAGAGCTGCTTTGTTTGAGAGCAGGACGGACGAAAGGTTATCAAGTTTATGCAAATAGAAGAAAGCAAACTGTAAAAGCAACCTTTGTCTCCTCATATAATAAAGAGTCAATTAAAAATGTACCTCTATGGTTGTTTTTGGCACCATTTTTTTTTTCCAAAGTAAAACAAACATTTTGTTCAACAAAAAGAATTACAGTAAAAAAAAATTGTCTTGAAATATTCATCGTTCTCATAATAAATGTGTTCTTTACGTAATCTCTTTCCACAGGTGTCGTAAGAAGATTATTAAACAATGAGGAACTCAAAGAAATTATCTTATCCAGCCTTACAACACTCTTCTTGTACAATTCAACCTTTGAACAATCACTTGACCTCCTGTATTAATTACTTTAACCTAATATTTCTTGCCTACCTCCACTTAATATTTATATTAAAACCTGACAAGAGACCGTCTTCACTGGGAGCATTTGGTGTTTCCATCAGTTTATATCCTCAGTCAGGGAAGCACTCTGTCCCAACTGTAAGTAGTGTTGACAACGCCCTTCTTCCTCCACCTGAATTGAGTGACTGTTTGTTAAAATCTCTTGAAGCCAATCAAAATGTCTGCTTCGTAGCTTAACAAAACTCCTTTTGGTTTTGCCTTTACAACTGTCCAAGACATGATCTATTCCCAGTATATCACAACCCAACTAAACTCTTTAGTACTCCTGTTATAGCCGTATGGCTCCCCGCACTTCATGTTTTTACAATTAGGTTTGGGAGTTACCAAGATGACTATCACCTTTCACCTTAGCTTCAAACAACTTCCTCAGCATCAGAGGCCAAGAACACAATCCCTTGGATCCATCTATGGAGGCTCAGCCAGATGATCCCAGCTCACCTTCACTATAAATCTGCATTCACTGCATTCCACCTGACCCCATTTACCACAAGATGATCAGCTCACAGTTCAGCTTCTCTTTCCACTGATGCATTCAAGAGATATGATCACACGTGACAAAACCATTATAAAATTGGTGATGGTGTCCTGGTGTTCTGTGCACTTGTGAAAAACCCTTTGTCTGCACAAGTGGTGAACATGAACAAACTATGCATGGAACAGAAATCCACAGAGAAATAGGAACAGGGAAACACCAGCTGGAGGGGCTTGTCTACAGAGAAATATGCACACTTTCTATTGGGGCATAAGACATGACAACGAGTGATCATTTAATAGAACGAGTCTATATGTTAATTTTTGGGGGGAGAAGATATAATATATGCTCCATAGAAAGATCCATTCATTAATTTTTACTTGTTTTTCTTTCTGGGTTGCAAAACAGCTGGTGTCTTTTCCCAGCAATCACTGTGAGGTGTACAGCCTGGACAAGGTGCAAGTCCATCACAGGGTCATACAGACACAAACAAGTTTAAACAACCATTCACACTCCCACTTAAGGAAAATGGAAGTAACCAATTAACCTAAAAACATGTTTGTTCGTTTTTTGGTATGTTGAAGGAAACTTAACGAAGGCATGGGGAGAACATGGATACTTCACCAAGAAAAGCTGAGGCAAAGCTACAACCTTCCTTCTGTGAGGAGACAGCTCTAACAGCTGTGCTGTCATGCTGCCCTTCGTAGAAACATTTAATATATACCGTATTTTCCGCCGTACACGTCGCACCATCCTATAAGTCGCATCAGTCCAAATATGTCTAATAAAGTGGAAAAATCTATAAATATGTCGCTCCTTCATATACGATGCATCTATTATGCGTCACCGCTGACAACCCGGAAATCTGGGCCGGTGTTGTGCCAAAAATCAATTGGCTGCCAAATGGCGACTGCGGGAGCGTGCACGGGAGGACTTCAACAAGAATTAAATAATATTAACACTTAAAAACAATTATTTGTTTGCTCTAAATTATAGTAAAGTTGTGTCTCAATTTAACTTTTCATTAATAAATTCACTTTAACGATCAAATCAGCTGCATTTCAAAAGTACTCGTTGCCTCGGTGCTCCAGGAGCGCTGTCTAAGGGAGGAAATCAGGAAGGAGGAACGCTGCGCATTTCTTCAAAATTTAACAAAATAACCACATAAAACAATTATTTGTTTACTCAAAATTATAGCAAAGGTGTGTCTGAGTTGAACTTTTCCTTAATAAATGCCCTTTGACGGTCAAATCAGCTGCATTTCAAAAGCCGATACACAGAAGTAGGCGCATGCACGGGAGGACTCGCTGTGCATTTCTTCGAAATTTAACAAGATAACCACCTAAAAACAATTATTTGTTTGCTTGCAATTATAGTAAAGATGTGTCTCAGTTTATTTTTTTCTTAATAAAAGGACTTTGATGGTCAAATCAGGTGCATTTCAAATGTATTTGTTGCCTCGGTGCTCCAGGACTGCGATCTGAGGGAGGACATCAAGAAGGAGGAAAGCTATGCATTTCTTCGAAGTTTAACAAGATAAGCACCTAAAACAATTATTTGTTTGCTCGACATTATAGTAAAGGTATGTCTCAGTTGAATTTTTACTTAATAAATGCACTTCAATCGTCAAATCAGCTTCATTTCACCGGCGCGACGCAGCAAAATGAAGCTGATTTGACGGTTGCTCCAGGTGAGCTGGACAAAGTTGGCAGGCTATGGCAAGCCAATTGTGTCATTAATAGCCACTTTTACCTATTACATGACACAATGGCATGCCATACACTCAAATGCCATCTGGTGGCTAAAAATGGTAATGTTCAATATTTTCCAATCAGAATGAATGAAAACGGTCATATCTCAGCCAAAAACTGGTTTATAAATATAGGAAAAAAATCAATAAATACGTCACTTCAGCGTATAAGTCACAGGGCATGGAAATTATGCAAACAATGTGACTTATAGGCCAAAAAATACGGTAATACTATCTGGAACACTTTGGCCAGGGACTAACCAAAATATGATGATTTTGAAGCTTCAGTTTTACAGTTTTAAAAATGTCAGCCTCTACTTTTTCTTCCTGTCAACATAAAATAATTAAAGAAAATTATAAATTACAAAGTGTTATACATGAGCGCATGCAGGGTTAAAATGCACTCTAGTTACTGTGCACAGATATCATCAGTGCATGCTCCTTTGCAAAGAGCCAAAATACTGACTCCACACATTTGTCTGTTAGTATTTCATTTTGCAGGAGAAAAATCCTCAAAGTTCCTCTATCTCTTTCTGAGCGACCACACAGCAATAGCTTTGGCACAAAATAGCATACTTAGTTTGGTATAAAAATTAATTAGGACCAAAATAAAGTTGATCATAATACCGATAACCGGTAGCTTGAAAAACATTGAACAAAATCCTCCTACGGCTGTATAAACACAAAAAACTGTAAAATTGTGTGGGCAATAGCATACAGCATGCCACTGCAGTTGGCATCATTTTTACACAATTTGAATAAATGGTAATTACACTATTGTACTACTACTACTAAACAGATTAAATGTTAATCTAATTGATTCAAATGAATAATTGATTGACATTTCATAGATTACAACCCACATAATTTATATTTCTATTTTATGTTTTCCTGTCCGCTGTGCATGTTTGTTTTCTTTTGTACAGCACTTTGGTTGGCCTTGTTGCTGTTTTAAGTGCTCTATAAATAAATTGGTATGGTATGGTATAATTTATATTTTTGAAGCTTTTCATAATGGATGCCTCTGAAACCAAAAAGAAAACTTGAAAGTCTTTCTAACAAGGCTGAGTCAGGTCCTCTTCTTGTTGAAACATTTCATCTTTTATCCAAAAGACTTCTTCAGTCTGAGGCGCTGCAATAAACTCAGTCTGATAAGCAGTATCTTCACATAGTGGATCAACCAGTTTGTTGCTGACAGCCAAAACTAGTTGTTCACATGCAAAAGGACCAAGCTGTCCTGATGGCCACTTGCTATTCACAGAGGGCTGAATGATGCTTGCAATAACATCATTGTAAGAGTGACAGTTGGACATGGAGGCCTCCAATTCTAGTTTAACGATGGATGGGTTCTCTTCACAAAGACGGCTCTCTTTACTCCTCTCAAACCAGTGTTCCTCTCTATCAAGGAGAATGCCCTTCCTTCTATATACATGTATGTAATAGCTCATCAACAACAGTTTGTTTATTTATTTATTTTGTCACCTAAAGGCAAACCTCAGAGTGAAAAGATAGATCTTCTCAGCTGGAGATCACAGCAGCATCACTTCATTAATCCACAGTAGATCTTCATAAACTCCTCCACAATCAACCCATTGCCCTCATCGCATCTTACAAAATCTATAATTAATTCAACTGTGTTCCTTGGATTTTTTTTAAATACTTCTCCGATTAATAATTGAGTTGTGCTATGTTCACCCATCAGCGGGAGCCTGGGTTGCAGCGGGTAGATAAAAGGGGTCCTTTGAAGGCTGAGACACAGATCTGGTACTTGAAGCCCTTGAGCTCTTTGGAAGCAGAAGAGAGGAATTACAGGAGACCAGGAAATTGGGAGTGTGTGGGGGCGACAACATAGGTTATGCTGGGTCTGATAAAGAGGGGAAGTGGTATGTAAAACATGAAATAGGACATGGAAAGCAGGTAGAGAGGAGAACCTCATCAGGATTCGATGTCATGAGTCAAAGCGAGCTTCAGAAGAACCGCCACCGCCAAAAGACTGTCTATTGTCAGAGAGCTAGGCAGACCAAGATACATTATCAGTACTAATGTACAATATTGTTCTCTTTTGTCTGTGGGAGAATATCCAGAGGCCAGGCTGCTTTGGCACACAAACACAATGAGTGAGAGTTTAATCATGGTTCAGTTAACCTGTCCCCTTTCTGTGTCACACAAACCAGATGTCCAGAGACTCCAGCTCCCTGGGACATCTGCATGGCTGCATGTTTACATTAGTTGAAAGCAAGGCCATCCCTCAGACTAATGAGAGGCTGTGGCACACACACCATGGAGCAAGACTGCAATACAAGAGGCAGAAAACAAAGCGGGACCTGGATTAACTCTGCTGAGCAACACTGTGATTCCCCAGCCATGCTTGATCCTTGTCAGCATCACTCAGCTCACTGATTCCAGAGCCAAACTTACTAACAGATCAGTGCCAACTTTGTCCCCCCTGCTCTTCTCGCTCCGATTCAGCACTTGGTGTCTCACCAGGCGTCCCAATCCAGGGATTGCATTCTTGACTCTAGGATGTGGAGTTTGGCTTGGGTGATGACATATATTTCTAACATAACATAGACCAGTGAATGGAACTTGACAGGCTACCCTGAGACCATGGCTTTCAAGGTTTCCATATTTTCACTCCTCTGGTATTAGCAGAAAGTTTTCGGGGAATAGATGCTGCTAGGATAGGCATTCCTTGCAGTCTTTAACCTCATGTGGTGCTGCAACCCACGATCATGTCTACTCCCTATGACATCAGCTTTTGCAACAAAAAACACACACACACACATTCAGTGCTAATGGGAGGATCTATTAAATACAGCTGAACTCCAACTCTGTGTTTATTGTTCTCTGTTAAACGGTGGCTTCTCTCTATGTGTCCATGTGCAGGTTTTAACCAAACCGCTGAGTGCCGAGTGCCAACCCCTCACAAAGACCCATTGCTTTATTTACAGCACATGACACTATATTTATACGAGGAATCTGACATTATTTAAGAGAGTGGGGATCAGTCGCATCATCTTATTACGCTGCATGAGTCATAGTGATTGATGGGCATAACAGGATGCTAATTTAGTTCAGATAAATCTTAAAAACTAAGTGCTTACCTCCTCGTTTCTTCCAGTAGACTCGGACTTGCAGTTGACCATCCTGGTAGAAGGGTGTGCCTACTTCAAGAGGGCCGGAGGGGCGTTTGGTTAAGGTCACGCCAAAAGGGAACACCTCCTCCTTCTTTAACTTGAGCACCGTTTTTGCTGGAAGGAGAAGAAAGAAGTGTTTGCTGCTGTATACAGCGATATGGCACACTCTTCAGCATGGTAACAAGCTCAGTTATTTCTGTGTAGGATTAGTTAACAGTACAAAGAAAAGTTTATTCCTTATGCATCAATGTGCTGTCACTCAATGGGTAAAACATGCAACACTGCAAAGGTCGCAGGTTCAATTCCCTCCACAGGCGTGCATACAAAAGAAAGCCCACTCACATTTCACTGAGGCTCACTGCATAAATAAAAACTACAAATAAATGCAAGACGTGCCGATGGTGTACGTTGGGCAATTCTTACTTTTTGCAGTGCTCGTGACGATTATTTTCCTTTTCAGAATTTCTGGGTAATTCAACTCTCATGAGAAGCAAAACAAACAAACTAGAGACCAAAGAAGAATGGGGTTTTGCTGGAGGAGTTCAACCAATCCCGTATACATTTGTAATTACAGTTCTGCAGATACATTTAGGTTTTGCTTGTGTTTTGGCTCTACGTGACCCTGCATGAAGCTAAAATTTACACATTTTCCATTTTTTATTGTTTAAACTTTAATTTTAAAGGTGCAAAGTATGATGTGACTGAATTAAAAAAAGTTGTCTATGTTCGACGTCATCGACTGGTTTGTGGTTTATTGTCTCAGAGCCCAAGATATACCCAGTGACATGCTAGTTTTGGAGGGGGGGTTATTCAAAGAAGACAACTAAGTTGGCGATAGGAAAAAGCTACAGAATGGAGCTTTACAGGATTTTTATTGGCCTAAAGCTGTACGTGATGTAAGGTGGGAATTTCAAATTTCCAATCTTAGGTTAAAAAAAAAAGAGTTGGTAAATTAAGACTTTTTTTTAGGTCAGTAACTCAAGTTTTTTCAGCTACGAACTCTTCATTGAATACAATGGCAAAATAAGTAGCTAACACTTAAACTGTAAACCTTTCTTTTGTTGTAGTAAAAAAAAAAAATAATAAAAAAAGCCTCTTTCTGTTTGAATCTGATGATTTGTTCAGTAAAAATTTAAGTAAGTCCATCGCCATCCAGACCATAAAAGTGGTTTACTGTGGTTCAAGGCATTTCCACAATGGCTTTACACCTAGAATCAGGTGACTACATCTATATTTATACAATGATTGCTGTTCATTTGCCCAAAACCATAACACCAACCAGCTAGCCTTAAAATAGATAGGTAGCTAAAATTACAAGCATTTAAGACAATTATATGGACCACACAAATCGTAAAGATGTGAAACATCAGTATGTTGAAAATATTACAGACTTCGGCAGGATGACAGGTCTGACATCTGAATCAAGAATAAAGTATCACCCCCAGTGTTTACCTGACTCGTTATTCTGGGAGGTACTGAAGTGGAGCGAGGCCTTGGAGCTCTTCAGGCGCACCTGTCCCCAGTAGGTGACAGCCTGCAGCTCCACCGTGTAGCTGCTGTTCTGCTGCAGTCCCTCGAGATCCACCCAGCTTTGAGCCTGCAGCAACAAGTACAAAAAGAAAAAGACACTTAGGTTTTGACACTTGTATGTAACCATACTGTCACCTGAGTTTCAAAACCCTGTCACTGTACCAGTCACAGCTCAGACTGTGGGAAATATGAGCTTATTAGGAGCACATGGAGCTGAGGATGAGATCGTGGTGAGGAGATGGCCTTCGGGGGTCTTGTGAAAGAGTGCTGTTATCAAAACCTCCCGGGGCCTCTTCACTGTGCTGGACTTCCAGCATTCCATCGTCAGCGTGAACTTGATGAGTTCCTCTTATTGACTGAGTGTGTTTTGACATTCCTCTACCAGCAGGCTGCTTTCAAAGCCCCCGAGGTGCCAAAGTGGAAACCAGTAGTACATGTGTCAACAGTGTCTGGTGTCTCCCACCTCTATCTCCTCTGTGCCACATCTGCTATGCATTTAAAAAATAATAATTCAGGAGAAAACTCCATAGTGGTGTATGTGGATTATTTAGACAATCTGTCTTTCAGCTTAAGTATCTCTGCACGGACAGTCAGTCACACGTGCTATTTAATCATGCTACTGTATACACTGAATAATGAAGCATCCAGTTTGTTCTTTATGTTAACAGGGACTTAATGAATAAACATGCTTATTTGGTATTGGATATATCTAATATTAAAACTAAAACTAAAGAGATTATTTAAGTGTTTGTGTGCTTTTGTGTGGCTGACCTGGACTGTGAAGGTTCAACTACTATGATACCATTATTAAAGTCTCAGTTGTGGAATGATTGACACCCATTCACCTGACAAAATTGCCACTGTTGGCTCTCTTCCTGTGAAGTCTTTTAAGCCACGGCCTTGTCCAGCCATGCAGAAAGGATTTAATATATGTTGCAGCTCAGCATCAAACACTCTTTTAAAGGGGGTTAAAGGGGGTGATTCAGCTCACGTTGGGAGTAAGCACTGCTCATCTTGGGAAAAGTTGCTACAAGTTAGTAATTTCACGCACTTTTGGTGTTTTTTTTTTTTTTAAAGGTGCAACAATATTACTGTAGTTTGAAAACTGTGCAATATTACAAGCCAGCTTTTTGAGTCACGTCCATACCAGTCAGTTTGTTATAACTTGAGGCAGTCTAATAGCTTCTTAAAGTAAAAGCACACAACTGGATAAATACACAATTCTGCCAAAAAGCTCATCTGTCTGTGTCAACTCTGTGCTGTAATTGAAACTGAAGCCTTGGTTTCTGACGTTCCAAAGGAAGAGCCATGAATCCTCTCTTTTCGTGCTGGAATGAATAGTTGAGTGTTCCATCACGCAAAACCATTCCAAGCAATAACAACAGGATTTATTATAATAGAAATAAGTGGTACTTTGTTTAAACATGGTATTAATGTTATGATTAGAAGCTGTATTTGGATGATTTTAGCCTACTAGATTGAATATATTGTTTTCACTGATTTAAAAGATGATAACTTTTAAAGAATTGTGTGTAAAGTTATGGAAAATTGATTTTTGAAGCTGTACTAAAGTGCAATAAATAAATAAATATGACTTAAAAAACTTTATAAACAAGTCAATTACCAAACAAATGTGCACGATGGATTAAAACTCCTATGACCTCTTCACAAAACAATTGAGATATTTTGGGAACACAGTCATGATTTATCATTTTAAACAGAACCATCTATCACATTTAATGTGTTCCCCATCAGATCTTTTAAAGAAATCTTTCATCAGTTTAAAAAAATAAAATAATGACAAACACATTGTAACAATATGTGTGACTGATGGCCTTGCAAGTACAAAATAAATAAATGCCATTAATTTAATTATGGCATTTTGTAATTATGTTAGAAGATGGAGGAAAGATGCTGAAAGAACTCCACATGAGACGGTGGAGTCTTAGAGAGGATATGTATTGTATTGTAATTTATTGTATTGTATTGTAAAGAGCTGATAAAGAGAGAAAGAAAAGTGGCACTGAGACAGATAGTGTGAGCAGGAAAGAGGATTACCCCATTGGTGGTCTTTCTCCTCTTCTTTTTTGAAGGTACCATCGACTTGCTGGGCACAGTCCAGCTCCAGAACACTTTGTAGTGATGTATGGGAATATCAGGCTCTTCTGGCACAGTCCAATTGAGACGAACTGTCACCAGGCCTTCATCACCCAACGTCACATTAGTGGCGCGCAGATTCGTTGGGCTGGGCGGGGCGGATGGATCTGGAGAACACAGCAAAACAATGTAATGTTAATGCAAACAGGTTTTAACACACCTGTGAACACTTAGAGATAAAGACGAAGGAGGCCTTTGGTTCCTCTAAGTGACAAATTGTGTCAAGGCAGGATTCTTCACGTATAATTTCAGGTAGAATATGTCAAAAACCAGATTATTGTTCCCCATTGAAGTCTACATCAGAGCCAAGGGGGCGGGGGCATCTAATGTGACTCTGTGTAAAGTAATTAGCCCTCCATTGACAAGCTGCCTTGTGGTGTTATAACAGGTGTCATGTCACATCTATGACAGCATTCACCACCACTGACAGCGCAGTTCAGGGGTTAACAAACACATGCTGCTCACTTTGGCTCCACATCAGACATTCCTGTACTCCAGTATGCACAGTGTCCAGAATAAAGCTGCTTCGCAACCCGTCCATGTGTTTTGCCGATGTTAACCCGGTGCACCGCCACATGTCAGACCAAAAGGGAATAGTCCTTTAATGAGAAATTGATTCAGGCCACAACCCACTTGGCTCTCCTCTCCCCGGCCCTCACTCACCTGAAAATAATTTGATTCAGTCCAAAAACGCAAGCGGTCACATCAGGTCTTTTAAACCCAGTTGATGTGAGCTGTGCAAGACAAATAAGCAGTTGACTCGTACAAATTGCCCTAACAAAGTACGGTTGTGCAAAATTGCACTCAGATGATACGGTTGCACTAAATAAATAACAATTGCATGACAGATTGGACGGTGGTTCATCAAAACTCAGACAACTCTCATCAATCTATCAACCTTCTGGCACTGATTGGCCTGATTAGAGATCAGTTTCCATCCCTGCAGCACAGTCACTCTCCCACCTGGTTTCTGCCTCCGTCTGACGACCATCCATAAAGCTCCGGGGAACAACAGCATGATGAAGAACTGACAGCCCAGGTCAACACATCATTTACACACTAATACTTTATGTATGCGGTACCAGCACATGGTGAGTCATACTGAACCCTTTTTATATATGTATACATTTAATCTAATACACATATACAGATAAGTGAAGTCAAGGCTGCTCGAGGCACAGCTTGGGGGCGTTTAATCTTCTTCTACTTGGTAAAGCAAACTATGAATAAGGTGCAATTTAGACAAAATGTTCCACTCACATATGCATGAAGGCACAAAACAAGGGTCTGCAACTTTAACAAATACCGTCTGCGGCTCAAAATATGCAGCAAAATTGAGTTGAGCAGTAGCAAAACATGCTGCTCAGGGGTTAAGATGTAAAAGGTGACACCACTTTGTTTGGAAATGAGGCAACACACATCCATTTAAAACTTGCTAAATCCTGACCAGATCAGACTTATGACATGTTTTATGATGTAATGAGATGAAAATGTATCTTATAGAGAAAAAAAAATACAATTTATACACATGCTGTCCTATTATATTACTAAAATGTCTACAACAAAACTACATGTAGATACATTTGTGTAAACTGTTGAACAGATACACATTTTCACATTTGTATCAAAAAAGTACATGAATCTTCATTCAAACTCTGTTTTAAATAAAACACATAAGCATTGTGGACACCATAAGTCAAATAGGATTAATGTACTTTTGGCACTATGGTCTTGTTTTGGTCTTATTTCTGTCTTAATCAGTATGTTTCTGCTTCATGGAGATATAGAACTGAATGGCTTTGAAGACGACAAGGCCTCATTTGTCATCCTAAGTGTCTCTTTTAATCTTCCCAAAAAGGCTGAGTGGTTATATAACGATTTTTAAATGGGGAAAGAAGGAAAGTTTTATGTTTCGAGGTGTGTCTTACTTGATATAAACGTGACTGTAGAAGCTGTCAAATCTGGTATTAGACACATTTTCCCAAAGCTTCCACCTGTTTTGTGCTCCCAACCATAACCAATGAAGGGCAGTCAGTGTTAAAGCTGACCACACACACACCCACACACACATGCAAATGACTATAAAGACAGACCTCTGGAGGAGCGGAAGTGTTTGCTGGGTGCAGTGAAGCCACGGGTCCCATGGACATTGACTGCTGCAACTCTGAACTGGTACCATCTGCTGGCTCTGATGTCAGCCAGTAGGATGCGCTCCTCTGCAGTCTGATGAACAGATAGAGGGGCGGGGAGCAAACCACAGGGGTCAGGGTTTACACAGGGTCACAGCCCCAATGTGAGTGTGCAGCCACATCAGTCATCAAAGCATCTCTTTGCCAAACTTTCAAAGACTGAGTGTGAGGAATGTGCGACACCATGCAATAGTTTCACAGCTGTAGGATGATGCATGCATGGTCAAGTAACCAACTTCAGTATGAAACATACCTGATTAAGGCAGTACATTTATAATCTAATTATGGGATTTTGCTGACATGCTGCATTTTATTTTTTACCTGCGCCACAGTTTGCCACTCTGTAGCGTCATCCTCACTGGGGTGAATTCCGTAATTCCAGCGGCGCTGCACCACATAGAGGACGGGCTCCACGGATATGTTGAACTTGGACGACCAGCGGATCTCCAGCTGACCCGAAGGCTGCTCCAAGAACACCAGATCCTTCCTCGGCTTCAGGGGAACTCCTAAAAGTACAGGATGAGTTAAAAATCCCCTCTGCATGGAACAGCAGAGCCGAAACTTGACATGAGAGTTGCTCGTTTTCCTCTCTGGGGTGAATGAAAGCTGGAAAGAAATGACATCTGAATTGGAGAAATACAGATCTGAGAATGAGACATGACCTCACTGCAATAGATTTAATACATGCTGGGGGTTAACAGCATCATCCCTCTGCTGTGGCAGGTTGTGATATTTCCTGGCTGCCGTTTTAATGTTTTAGTAGCTGTGAATCTCGGTGATGATACACATAGTTTGCACTTAGGTATGCAAGATGAAGCACAAAACATTTTCTCTCCCTGTCTCTTACAGGTACAATACACACCAGTATAAACCTATAAGAAGGTAATTTGCATCACTGAACTTCACTTGCAGCCTTTCAGACAAAAGTCGACGTGGCCATGTGTGATAAATATAAGATTAGAGATTTATTAGACAGAGCCCCGGGCCACACACTTAGCCAGGTCAGGCCAACTCTCTCATGTAGATTTATTACTGTGGAGATATAGCAATTTGTTGACTGAGCACTGGGCAGAGTGATAATGAGATGGAGATTGGAAAAACAAGGCTAAAAGTACATGATTGGGCTGAACACCATGACACTGTTCTTAATAAATCAGCCAGCACTCAAACCATTGTGCTGGACCTCCATCAATTCAATTCAGTTTATTTCTATAGTGCCAAGTCACAACAGAAGTCATCTCAGGACACTGAACAGAAACATTCATATATTTAAAAAGCAAGTTAACGTTATTTATCTGAGGAGCAGACTGCATTGAGTCTTAACTTCATCGAAGACTCTCATCCTGAGCAAGCATGAAGGCGACAGTGGAAAGGAAAAACCCCCTCATCAGGAAGAAACCCTTTGTAAAAGCAGGCTCAGGACAAGTGGCCATCTGCTTCTACTGGCTGGGTTTGAGAGGAACAGATACACAATTGCAGGTTGAGAATCACGTTAAGATAAAAATAATTTAAAATGAAAACTATTCATTTGTAACAATTCACTTTAAGAAATGTGGTCAATTTGTCCTCTAGTAGTCTAAGCCTACGGCAGCATAACAAGCCAACCCTAACTATAGGATATATCAAAAAGGAAAGTCTTAAGCTCAGTCTCCTCCCATTAAAAGCTGCTTCACGTTTTATGAAGAGCATCATCGCACACCCAAGGCTACTCTAACGTAAGTTGATAAACTTGAATTTACGTCTGTCTGACTGTGGATTGGTAGAGTCCAAACTCTTTAGAGATGGTTTTGTAACCTTTTCCAGACTGATGTGCATAAACAACTCTTTTTCTGAGGTCCACAGAAATCTCCTTTGTTCCTGCCATGATCCACTTCCACAAACATGTTGTGAAGAGCAGACTTTGATAGATCCCTGTTCTTTAAATCAAACAGGGTGCCCACTTACACCAGTTCATCATCCCATTGATTGAAAGCGCCCGACTCTAATTTCACCTTCAAATTTACTGCTAATCTTAGAGGTTCACATACTTTTTCCACATACAAGTATGCAATACAGTAGTCCCTCGCTACTTTGCGGTTCGACTTTTGCAGACTCACTATCGCGGTTTGTGAATGTACAGTCCATAATATTGTACAAAAATAAAATTGTACAGGACACATGATTGTCAACTTTAATATTACTCATGTGATTGGGACAGTAATGGATACAGTACAGTAAAAAGTTAACAAAAACCTAAAATACTTTTTATACGGAGAATCTCCGGAGCGAGTGGTGGCAGTAAGGATTTTTAGTCTGGTTGACGTTCATGAGAAACATGACAACACAAACACGTGCCCGCTGTCCGAGCGTTACTCAGAGTGGCAGTGCGAGTGTTCCTTGGACAGACGGGCGGACCGTCTGATCAGCAGGGGTTACATGCTGAAGTTCGCAGCTCAACCTCCACCGTTCAGAGGGATTATAGAGATGGTTCTGTCTTCTCCAGAACAGAGCTTGTCTCTCCAGTCAGAAGTTCAGGAATTTCTGAGGAAAAACGTGATTTCCAGAGTTCCCAACGGAGAGGAAAATATGTTTTTTTTCCTTCCACTACTTCCTGGTTCTGATTAAAAAAAACGGAGGGATGAGACCCATTCTAGACCTGTTCATGTTCAGCAATTCGATCATGGGGAGACAATTCCACATGCTGACAAACAGCTGCTGGAGAACTTCACCAGAACGCTGGTTTTCACCTCCATAGATCTGAAGAGCGCATATTTTGAGGTTTAATTAAGAGGTTTTATCCTCTTCCTCATAATTCTGAGGAGGAAGCAACATCTCACCTCCTTCTGTCCCATGCGTGCATTTTCATGTTACGTGGCGCACACGGCCGCACTGCGCCGCTTTCAGCATATGTTCGTGCATTACTGGGACAGCTCTTCAGGACGTCCTCTATCCACCCAGTGCCTCTCACACTGGTTGTGTGAGGCTATTTCTGAAGCTTAAAGTTCATCTGGACCGGATCCTCCAGAGAATCTCAGTGCATTCCACCAGAGGGTTTTCATCCTCCATGGCTCTGCATGGAGGGATGACAGTGGAGGATATTTGTATGGCGGCTGCCTGGTCATCGCCATGTTCAATTATTCGTTTTGATCTACGTGATGTTTCTACTTTCTCCATGACCCATTCTGTTCTCAGGGTTCTGATAGAATGATTATTATTTGTTTCATGGAGCCTCACTTTTAAGCTCACACCTGCCTTCATGTAGTCGCAGTGTGAGATATTTATTATCAGTCACAAGTTCATGACTGCTGATTTTATCGTTATTAATTGGTTCATCCTGAGGAGCTGTTGGTCTGCTCTGTTCATCGTTACACTGTTACAATTCGTATCCTTCGTTGTTCCTATTCAAAGCAGCAGGTCTGCTATCTCAGCGTTTTTTCCTCACTAGAGATCTTTTCTCCAGTGCGCTCCTGCGCATGGAGCATGCAATTACGCAGAGCGTAATTACGCACACAGAAGGGTGAGTGATTAAATGGTTTTTTTTGTGCAAGCAAGTGCTTCATGTTGTGTCTGAGTGGGCCCAGTGAAGCATAGACTACATCCTGCTTCGTCTTTAACCCATTAGCAATAAACTTAAAGGGCGAAGCCTATACGAAATAGAACGTTGGTTACGTACTGTAACCCAAGATACTTTGAGTATAGGCGCAGCCCTTTAAGTTCTGGGCCTCAATGGTTCCTAAATGGCTGAAGAAAAAAGTTATTTGGGAGCCGAATACCCGGTCTCACCGTAATTTATACGGACCGGGGGTGAGGTCCACACAGCAGGTGGGTGTGGACTAAAGTTTTCAGTGCTGCGCTGCGCGCAAAGGGATAAACCCACTAGCGATAGCCTTAAAGGGCTGTGCCTATACTAATAGAATCTGGGGTTACAGTACGTAACCAACATTTTCTCTCAATAAGCCTACACCGTATTCCCACTCATAATGACTACATTTCACAGAAGCCAACAGGGCCCAGCACAGAACCCCCATTTCCTTCTGCTGAAATGCTATAGAGAAAGTTTTGATCTGATCAGAAAAAGTTTGGTGCTTATTACAGTGACTTCGGCACCCAGCGGATGCAGAGCCACATGGAACCCACCGAACAAAACCAGAACTGGACCAGAACCAGAACTCCAGACCCATCGGTGAATCTTGAGAGCTGGTAGCTAGCACACAAGGACTTAGAGCGAGACGTGCAATGCCAAAAGTCCGGCGCTCCATCCAGCACTCCATCAGACTTTTTTCATCTCTTGCAACCGGCCCATGAGGACCTCCATATGGGGGTACGCTGTGAAGTAAAATTTAGTAGCTGGTATGTTGTTAAAATTACTAGGTTTAATAGTTTAGAACATTGATTGTGGGCTTCCTCGCTGCAGGGCAGTCTGCAGAAATGGAACAAAGTCAGACCAGAACAGAGTCGGACCGGAACCGAAAGCTGATGTTCTACAGAGCTGGTAAGTAAAATTTACCGGTAGTAGCTACATATACAGTACTGTATGTATGTTGTTAAAATAACGTAGGTTTAAGAGTTTAGAACATTGCAAGAGTGTGGGAAGGGTTTCTAAAGCCTTATATATACAGTATATACAGTGTGAGTGTATATATATATATATATATATATATATATATATATATTAATACTAAAATAAATATAATGTTGCTACTTTGCAGATTTTTACTTATGGAACCTAACTCCCGCAATAAATGAGGGATTATTGTACTGGATCATTTTCCTTAATAATAAATGACCAAATAAAATATTTTTCTCTCATTTGTTTAAAGGATGTGTGAACATCTGATGATGTTTTAGGTCAAATTTATGCAGAAATATAAAAAATTCTAAAAGGGTTCACAAACTTTCAGCACCACCATAGATGTGCATACAATGAATGCTTTCTTTCATTATAATCTGAGCACTGGCTCATGAGTTATGTTGCTAACTCAACAGTCAAATAAACCCATGCAATTCAACCAACGCGTGCCCAAATCTAAAAAGATGGATGAAAGTCAGAACTTGGTTTTGTTCCGCTGATAAGAACTCTCTGCAAACTAACAGCTGGGGGTCGTTGTGCTGCGGTTTCACAGCTGCACTGAAGTTTGGAAGTCTGCAAGCGTCTCCGTACGCGCAAGCAAACGCGTCACATTTCCTGTGCAGCGATCAACACTGAGGTAACCGCAGCATTCTTCTTCTTCTTCTCCCCCATCTGCCTTCGCTCATCCTCCCACAAACACATGCATGCCGACCCACTCTTCCAACACATGTGGGAGGGACGACCCTTTCGCTCAGGTTGCTCTTTCCAAACATAACTTCTGAGTCAGGTTTCGTCCAAACATCATGCAGCTTTATCAAGGGCCACACGCGCACTCCAACCCATGATGTAACTTCTGCTGAAGCATGATCAAGAGTGCACTGTTGGTTCGTATCTGCATCATGCCAACAATTACACTCCCGAGGATATAATTCTCAATACTCACGCACAATCTGTCATAATAACTGCTTTAATTACAAGTTCAGAAAAACATTGCAACACTTTCTAATGAAGTCAGACATGGATATGATTGATTGACGGACTTGTAACGACAGTGTGAACATGACTCACTAGATTTTATCTAAATTTGACAAGCATGTTTGCCATATGCCATGCAGAAAAAAAGAAGTGGGATTCTGTCACAGTCAGTGCGGCTTCTTCAAAAGAGTGGAGAAAATGCCAAAACTGAAAGACACTGTATGGAAATCTTAGAAACTAATAAAGCCACAGTTTTATCTAATGCACATTTTCTTAAATGAGACTTTGAGCATTGAAAGAAGATAACGTTTTATCGCACATCAAAAGCTCAGCGGGGGTCTGGTGTCTTGGGGAAATTGAAGAGTGAAGTTTTTCTGTCAAGGGGCATGAGCTGGGGACCCCAACCTGAACGCACACATCTGAGAGTGATCTCAGCGGGGGGAAACGCTCCATTTCTTCCCTGCTTGTGTTTGCTAATGGCTTCCAGCACCGTGGCTCATCACGGCACACACTGTACGAGCACACGAAGAAGCAATTACGCTCTTCAAACCATGAGCGACTAATTAGACCTTTAACACCGGGGACCAGGACAACAGTTCCTCTCTGACTTTCGCCAAAACGCTCAGTGTAATTCAGCGTAAGCGTAGTGCCGACGGTGGCCTGCCGCGAGCTCTGTGTTTGGACTGAACCTGCAGGTATGCCGCTCGCGTCGAAGGTCTCGCTGTGCAGTGAGTGGTTTTCATTGACGGGGTCACTGTGCTGAAACAGTCAACATCACCAAAAGACTTTCATCTTTTTTCCCAGATTAACGCCGCACACACACCTTTTGAGCCTAACATCCACCATGTAGTCCCTTGAGACGTTTCCTAATCAAATAAAACCACTAGAACCCCTCCGTAAGTCACGTATCACATGTTCTTTCTGCACGCTACTAAATGGAGTTCACAGTAGAGCATGCTTACCATGATTCAAAGCATACACCCCTGCAGACTATCACTGCAGCAGTTCAAAGCTTGATTTAAACTCATCTTCTGCCGCTCCATCTCCTAAACTCTGTTATGGCCTTAAGCGATTGCATTGTGAGCTGCTGACAGCATGTATATTGTAGCTACCATCTCCAGGTTCAGGGGCCCTCGGTTCTCTCACAAAAACAACTCGGCACCCTCAGAAAATCAAGTCGCCCTGGGCAACCCCATTAAACTCTTACCGAAGGAGAGATATGAGAGTCTGGAAACTCCGAGTTTATCCTGCGATTTTAATACCGACGCTGTACTCCAATGCAGAGCATGAAGAATGTGTGGGTGAAGTACAATGCAAAGAGATGGAAGATTTGGGATTTCAAGCACGCTGTCAAAAATAGAGGTGAGATAATCTGTTTGCTTCACTGAGATTTCAAGCAGATGTTTAGCAGAGAGGGATGCAAACTGGAGCAATTAATCACATTAAAAACCTGATGGACCGTGGCCTGATTTGATACTATACCATTAAGAGAGTAAAGGAGGAGGGGGAGAGAGAAGGAGTATCCCTTATTTAGCTGATGAACCATGTTGCAGTAATCTGCTCCCTCTTGTAAAAAAAATACAAAGCCATAATTAAATAGGGAGATGAGTTAAGTGGAAGACAGCATCAGTGTGCACAGTTGCTTGATGGCTTAGCAATATGTGTGTACAGTATGTGCATGTGTTACAATAACAGTTGAGTGTTTCAGGAACAGTTTCACTGCACCTTTCATTGCTTTATTAATTGCTTCCTTTTCATTTACCTGCAGGTGAAATATTAGAAGGTAATGCGGTGCAATCAATCATTTTCCAAACTGACAAATTTAATTTGCCACTGTTGCTAAAATAACTCAAACACATGCAGGAACTTAACGGGTTCATACAGTTGGTTTAGTGTAAACATAGATTTAATGAGGATAAACTGATTAAAAGACAACTGCAGTAGGTAGGAAAGCTGGATGTTAAAAATTATGAATATGAGTCTGAATGTTGAAGGGTTGTAAACTCAGTCATCCACATAGATAACAAAAAGGCTAAATCATGTCATCTGGACCAGTTTCTTTAAGTGAAAAGCGTTAAGTGACACTTAAGGAAACTGGTCCAGATGACATGATTTAACCTTTTTTGTTAGTCTGAATGTTGTTTTAATGTAAAGATAATGCAAACTGATGGTGTATTTAGCAGAGTCTGAGGTCACTTTGTGTGTTTTAATACAAGCTTCTGTATGTAAGCAGCTTTGTGTGCATCGTTGCAAATGTGGGTCCTCTGAAATAATCAGCTCTTCCTGTTTTTTATTAGTTGACAGACAAATTTTAACTTTTTCAAGCTGCTTTCAGGCTACAAATTCACCTTCATATTGGTTTCTCTTACCTTTGTTTTGACTGATTATTTCATGCAAATATCTTGTACCACATGGGGTTTAAACTATAATTTATTACCTACATACATACATTTCTTTTTAACACTTTTTTTTTATTTCCATCATTGCAATATATACAAAGATATGATCATATATCTGTGGGGAAAGTATCTAGCTGGCAGGTTTTATTTGATTATGGCACTCCAGATATCCTTTAATTAGGTTTGTAATTTGCTGATTCTGATTTTATCTCGTTGACGGCTGCCACTTTGTGTACCGTTTACTACTTTGTATTCTGTCTGAGTTTAAAAGGATTCAAGTAAGAAAAAAGGGGGAGGAGATGGAGTTTCTCTATAAAGCAGTTCCAAATGACCGTGATGTAGAAGTCATTAACAACAGTGCTGACAGCCATTATTCATCAAAACTGCATTTACAAACCAAAACGCTGGCTTTTTTTTTTCTTGGTCACTGGATCAGTCTTAAATATCGCACTCGTACAACGAGAAGGGGCAGCCGCAGGCAACAAGCAGGCTGTGAAACCCCAGCTCTTAAAAAAATAGCTAACAGCCTTCTTAATGTGCTCCGCTGTGGTTGGAAAAGAACTTGTGCCACGAGCATGATGAGATCCGTTCAAGTAATATGATTTTGTGTGGCTGCGCTGTAAACCGATACAACACTTGTTCCTTTGTTGTACGCTCGAACAAAACAGCTGCTCGGTGTTTGCCATCTTCATTTATCCACCAGTGACCGCGGGTGCTGCCAAATCTGACAGCGTTTAACGTGGACAGAAATGACTATTTCTTCAGGACAATGACACACACAGTGTGGTGCAACGTTGTTTCCCTTTTCATTTTCATACCTTTGTAGAGATTCTTGGGAACCTGGCAGGTGTGGCCGCAGCCGTTGCTGCAGCACTTCTTGACTCCTGAGCACTCTCCGTCCTCCTCGCAGCTCTCCACACAGGCTGCAGCAAAGCCACTGGCCTTCTCAGGAGCAGGGCAGTCGCCTTGCTTCACTCCTTCCACTGACTTCAGGAACTCGCAGCTTGTCAGACACTCGTAGTGCTTCTTGGGAAATAGGGGCTACATAGAAAAAAAAAAAAGAGGAGAGGGGAAAATATATGCCAGATTACTTTTTAAAGACTCGCTGCAAACAGACTGCTCTTTGAGTCAACAGTGACCGTCCTGTTTAGATTTCGGCTTATGACTCACTGAATTTCCGAGCGCATTAAATGGCTCTGATTCAGTCGCACAGCGCAGAAAAGAGGTACTTCACTCCTCTTTCCACCTTTCGCCTCAGCAAAATCCCCCCATGCACAAGTTTGAAAAGCATAAACACCCAAATCTGAGGCAAGCCCAGTATTTTTTGTAGTAACATACCTCACATAAATCTTGGCACTGGTTTTCCTTCAGGTCCCAGGATTCCTTGCAGGGCTCCAGACACTGTGAAAAGGAAAAGGGTGTCAGTTCTTCAAAGATCCAGCCACATCAAAGACGTGCTGCTGCTGCTGTGGAGATGATGCCTTCAGTGGCCTGGCTGCCTACTGACACCTCACGCAGGCACTGCCTCTGCCACATTCACACCAGTCACACCCTGTTTTCTTACAGATGCCAGGGATACCTTTAAAGGGCTTTGACAGTCGATGACAAAAGCCAACGAAGGGCAAAGAGGTTGTCTGTCATAAGCTGAATGAAACAAGCAGCACTGGAAAGCTACTTATGTTTGGGTTTATTTCGTGTGAGTCCTGACAGATCCTCTCTTTGATCGTCAACACCAGTAGCCCCACATACTGTCTACACCTCATTCTCATCCTGCCACCTCTCCAGCTCATGTCTAGACTTGACAGAGTCAGGTACACTTGGAGGAATAGCTCTGGGTCTTTTTTCCCCTCGAGTGGGGCTGCCTGGAGTAGTTATGAGCGTTTAGTATTTTACCTGAAGTAGACAGCAGCCAGAGTGATGTCAGTCTGTAGAATGGAGGAGAAATGCTAATGAGAAAGTAAAGCTAGCTCCTATTTATAGCGGGGCCCATTAAAAAGTAGATGTCAACCATCCAAGTCAAGTCAAACTGAAATAGAGAATTCAGTTTAAGCAAACTACACAATTATATTTTTAAGTATTTGCTTATGACAGCTGTTTATGTTAACTGAGCTTGACTCTTGTGTGAATTAAGCTAATAACTATTCAAAGAAGGGCCCCTTAAAAAGGTTATTCCCACCACCTAAAACAACTCAAACTCTAATTTTTATATGTTTTAGTAAACTTTGCATTCAGTATTTTTACTATGTTTGTATATGAAAGTTGTTGTTCATGTTGAAGTTGTTAGCTTGTGAACTAAGCTATGTGTTGATCAGAGCTGTGATTACAAAAACAACAAAGTTATGATTATTTTCTGGGACAAAATTAAGATATTTTTAGTTTGTAGAGAAACAAAATGTCACTCTTTAATAGGCCCGTTCAAGAGTGAAATTTCAGCCACCTAAAACAACTACAACTCTAAACTTTACTAACAGTTTAAGCAAAATATATTTTAAGTATGACTTTATTATATACTTGTTTTGTTAGTCAAAACGTTTTCTCGACTTTCCAGTCAGTCATGCTAACGGCTACTCAGAGCAGATAAAAAGCAAAAATAATTTTATACTCAAACGCAAAACTTACCAAGCAGATCAAATTAATATCATATTAGTAGTTATTTTATACCTCATAACTTTTGCAGAAAATTGCCTTTTTTTTTCTCTACCAAACAAAAAATATTATCTTGTTGCCCCAGAAAAAAATGAATAATGTTGTTACTTTTGTAATCACTCAGTAACAGGTGTGTTGGGATTACACTGGTGGAACTGCAATTTGGGGCAAATTTACAAAAATACAATTATCAGCATCCATCCATTATCTTCTACCCGCTTCTTCCATTTTGGGTCACGGGAGTCGCTGGTGCCCATGTCCAGCAATCACTGTGCGAGGGACGGGGTACACCCTGGACGGGTCGCAAGTCCATCACAGGGACACATAGAGACAAACAACCATTCACTCTCTCACTCACACCTAGGGACAATTTTTAGAGTCACCAATCAGTCTAACATGCATGTTTTTGGTTTGTGGGAGGAAACCGGAGTACCCGGAGAAAACCCACGCATGCACGGAGAGAACATGCAAACTCCACCCAGAAAGGCCCCCGGACCAGGATTTGAACCAGGGACCTGCTCGCTGAAAGGCAGCAGCTCTACCAGTTGCGCTACCGTGCTGCCCATTATCAGCATCTTTTTACACAATTAAACAGCAACATGAACATTATTTGGGAAATTGTGACAAAATAAATATTTGTCTTGTGCAAAACGAATAAGGTGCAAAAAACATTTTATTTTTATGTTCTATTAAATTCATTTGAACCGCAAGGAAAGCTTTTAATGTGACTCTTCAGGTGGCAAAAAATTTATCCTACACTGGTCTGGCTCTGAGTAGCCATTAGCCACAAGTCAAGCAAACACTTGTTCTCCAAACTGAGGTCGCTCTGACTTCTGTCCACTGCAGGTAAGACACTGACTGAGAACAGCCACTCCATTCAACCTGCACATAATATAAAAGATCTTTCTCTTTAACGTCATCAGGGTTGAAACAAGAGTGTTTTTAGAAAGTTACACTGCTCACAACACAGAACACATTTTCTATATGTTCAAAAAATCCACAAGAAAATAAAAAGATAAACTTGTTTTGTCTGCTGCTTAAACTCACTTTGCCAAACCTAATGGGATAATACAATTTAAATATGAAGTTTACCAATTTAGTCAAACAATTCTTGCTTTAAACACAACTGACCCTGAATCGAATTTGATCAAACTTAACATGATTTAACACAAACAGACTGGCACGTCCAATAAAATCAGGCAGATTCTGCTGTCGTTAGGGCTCAGATTGAGAGATGCAAGTCTCTTAAATCCTCCAGCAGCTGGCTGCTGGGAGCGGGTGTGAAGGAGAAGAGCAAGCTGAGTCAAACCACTGCCAGGCTGCATCTGTACAGTACTGGGAGCTGCCCAAACCGCACCACGCAACAACCTGCCAAAGACCCTCATTCAACCCCATTTAATTTAGACTCTTTCACCGGCTACAACGCAAAGGTAGATTGAATAATGAATTTTCAACACGTTCTTTATTTCTCACAGGGTGTCCAACATGTTTGTCTTTAAGAGATTTTAATAAGACATGGATTTTTGCTTAGAAAGAGCCTCTTAATAACAGCTTAGAATAACATAGTTATGCAAGGTACAGTGCTGAGGAGTGGTTAAATGGGGCCATTTATTGTACAGCAGAGACTACATTAAACACAAAAGCTGATGTAAGAATTTTCACATCTCAGTCGGGGGGCCACAGTTGTATTTATTACTCTTTAATTTAACCCATTAGCTTGCTCCGTCATTATAATGCCATTGCCAGTGAAAAGTTTATTTGCTTTTTATGGAGTGTGGTGGACGGGAGCATGATGAAACATAAACCTTGCTTCTGAAGGACACACAGCAATCAGGAGCACGGACGAGCCTGCCAGCACCCAATTACACTCAGCCTCTCAGCCGACTCTGCTTCGCCCAGCGTTGTTCGCGACAGCCGATAAACTCTGCGCGAGCGGTGTGTCGAGTCTTTCAACTGCTGGCTCCAAAGAGAGGGAAGGGCTGGATGGGAGGGGGTTTTCTTAATTATTTCACATCAATATAGATATCGTTCTAATAAAAAATACAGTGTCAAGAGAAAAAAATCCTGACACCTCGGTGAAAGAAGAGAGCTCCAGAAGCAGCCAGTGTGGTTTCAACAGAGCCGATCAGGTGAAAACACATCAACACTTTGGGGATTTAAGACGATATTCGAGCTCAACTGCCCTGTCAGAGTTAGGCTTCAGTCTGTGCAGTTTGAAAATCATCTGTTATGAATAATACGGTAACTTTATATCATTATTCTGCTCTCACTGGAGAGTTTTGGGAGTACAGTCTGAAGCGAAGCTGCATCCCAGTCTTGTACAAAGCCCCAAGCTGAAACAAGCAAGTGTTGCGGCAGCAACCATGTGCTGAACCGATGCCTAAAGGACATTCCACTAGCAGACGCACATGTTAAAGCCCCCAAATCCCTTCTACAAATCACTGAAAATACACATATAAGCCTGGGGATCAAGCTCATTTTGCACATTGAAAGGTCTCGTGAGCAGAGCATTCCTCTGGCATTTTCTTGAGCATGAATTCTTCTCTGGTTCAAGACGGCCCCAACAACCATACAAGTGAGAAATAGAATCAGCGTTATCTCGAGATGCTCGAGCTCCAGTGCCAAGCTGCATGAATTAGCACAGCACATTGCGTACTAATGATATTGCAACACAAATCAGAATGCTGGCTGTGTGTTGTCTCACCCACATTGTCCAAGTCTTGTTTTCTTTAGCTCACCAGAGAAAAAGTTTGTAACAAAACCAACTGGATTCTAGCAGGAACTTTCAAAGTTTATGGAATGTATTATAAATGGCACCATTAATGAACGACAAACACGTGCGTTGGGACAGAGAGCTCAAAGGCAGGTGTGCTGGAAACTGACAATCTGTCAACGTTGCTCCCCAGCCACACCCACAACCTGACATTTAAGGAGGGAAGAGGTGATCCAACAACAGATGTCTTGCCAAAACAAATGGGACGGCTGTATATAATTACAAAAGGTGCCATCATCAATCAAGAGCTTGATTCCAATTTGCACAGTCTGGTGCTCAATCTAAACTGTGGCCCTGGTGTAGTACAAGACTTGGGAAAAATTTTCTTTAGGGCAACTTTTTTGTGTACCATATCTTCCGCAGACAACTAGAAGAACTTCTATTATTACATGTCTGGGTTTTAGTTCTGAAGTTATATTTCAAGTCAGAGCAAACCAAAATGTGCATAAAAAGGCTTCCTTTGTGGAAAAAGCCTAATGTTCCTAGAAAGTCACAGAATCTTCAACTATTTACATTATAATTGGGAAAAAATGTTGAAACAAAGTGGAGGACATAACTGAGCTGGACACAGCATACGTATGGGCTTTGCTGGGGTGCCAGTGTTGGTTCTCCCCTCAAGCAAATTTCTCCTGCTGGCAACACAGCTACCATCTGTTTACATCGCACAAGGAATGCATGTATTTACGCCATGAGATGTTAACATATTTCAGGACAAATTTCCCCCTTCAAAAGACATAAATAACCATATAGTATCTATAAGAGCCTTGGTTGTTTCTTTGCATTTGAGAATCTAATTTTCTCTTTGTCCTCTTATCGTCCTGCCCAACGGTGACACATTCCGCATGGTTAAGTAGGAACATCCACAGCAGTCTTTCACTCCCCATTTCACGCTGTAATAAAATGCAGCAGTTGTTACTCTGGGGGGGGAGTCTGAAAGGCATTCTGTGGGGTCGATGACAAAGTCAGGCTGAATGGCAGCCAA